GTAGCTGTGTGGGTGGGGAGGGACGTGCATGCATAGGTAGATACATATGCACATGCACGCAGACATACGCAGACAGACAGACGCAAGGACGGACGGACAGACCGACAGACGGACAGGCATACGGCTTCGTGTGTGTATGTGTAAACATTTCAAGCTACTGCAGTGGTTAGAGACAGGTATGTCTGGTTTTGATGAACAATGCAAGCAATGTTTGCGTGCGGCGTGTGTGCATGATTATGGATGAGTGCTTGTCGTTATCTACAGCAGGACGCCCGACGTGGAAGACATCGGCCATGCAAGGCAACCCGAAACCAATGCAAGCAGCTCTTGGCACAGATGAACGACCTCTATAAGGACGATCCAGAACAGACTCTTGGCGGCCAGCGAGCCCTACTGTGCACGATCAATATCGCGCGCGCGCCTGCAATACGGTCTTTTCCTGTGTTTGTCTGGCACGTACGGCATGTACAGCTTTTGACTTGCAGAAGTAAGCGTGAGTCAAACGCGACGACAAGGAAGCAGCAGGCATATCTCAAGTTGGCTCAGCAGAGCCCGTACATGAAAAGCAGCTTGGCAGCCACATGATGTGTGGCTTAGCTTGCCGAGCCAGCTGTGATTTCTCAGCCCTTAAGCAGAAGATCTGAGGTCTTCTGAAAGGAGTCCTCGACTCTGAAGATACAGAAGCTGCTGTCACTCGCCTAACCTGGTTTGTCTGTGTTGCAAGTGCGGTGGCCGACTTGGTCAGTACACAAGAAGGGCCGCCAACGAGCCGATAGTTGAATGACACATCTTGACTCGGCCGAGCGAATGAAATCGTCATATGCGGCGTCGTCCTCATCCAAGCCGATTCCCAAGCCAAGCTGGCTGATGCCGAGGCATCATCAACTGCGCCACGTCCACCTGGCCTACAAGACGAAGACAGGAAAGGAAGCGCGCCGTCCCAAGGACCTTCAACCCAGCCCCTGTAATGTGCAAGAAGCAGCGGGCTACTTTGCATTGAAGCCTCTCGATGTGCCATGCAGGACGAAAGAACGGAAGAAAGAATTTGATCTCGTTGTAACATCGTTTTGTAATCAGCGCTTCAAGGCTACTGCGTGCTACGTGCTGTGGATTGCAAGCTGTGCGACAACTGGCTACACAGAGTGTCTGCGGCAGGCGCTTACCCACAAGGCCTCTTGGAAGGAAGCCTTGGTGTCATTGCATCTGCTACCCGATTGACTGCCAGCCTTAATGAAATGGCCCTGTCAGTCTGGAGCTCAGATGCACGTGGCCCAGGGCTTACTAGATGTTTCACTGTCACAATACCGAACTTAAAGGGCCTCTTTTTTCCGAAATGTATGAAAACTAGATTGAGATTATACACCATAACTTCTGATTGAAATTTCTTGGACCTAGTTCAGGTGAACCTTCTGTGAAAGAGCTTTTCCGCGGCAGTCACCCACCAGCGCGACATTGCGACGTGTTTCTAACGTTCTCATCGCAATACAAATCGGAAAGTGTTTGCTTAGATGGGGTGATTCGCCCATAGCGGCTCTTGAGTATTCTTGTCAAGTTAGCGGTCGTGGATCACGAGGCAGGCTGTCAAAGACGCATTGCTGCCTGCATCCGGAAACAGCACTTGCGCATCAACAGCACAAGTCCTACGGTATGGCACCACGCCTCTGCTTTGTGAGAGCCCAAATTCCTTTCCGCGACGGTCAGCAAAAGGAGGCCTGAGTGAACATCGGCCGGGTGTCGGTTTGCATTTCTGGGATCAACATAGTTGATTTATCCTGTCTTGAGTTATTCGACCAAGCCCGCTTCTCCGCGATAATATAATTCGGTGGCAACATACCAGAATCCAGAGATCGTGATGAACTGACGTGGAAGTGCTAACACAAGTTTGAAATAGATTTTCTTATTTGATCTTTCGGTTGAGAGAATCCTTCGTCTTCAATTACTAGCCATAAATTTAGAAATTGGGACTCCCTACGACGTTTTTTACGCGTCAATATCAGAGGTATATTCAAATCTAATAATTTTATATTCAAATCTGATAATTTTTATATAAGTAATCATTTTCTCACACTATTATTGAATTAAGATCTTGATTCAAAGAAGATTTATATATTCAAATACGAATCAATAAATCTATTTCATTCATTGCATTCATTTCATGATCGAATTTACTTTATTTGGATATAATCAGATATTATATCGAAATAAAATATAGAATGAATAAAATTATCATTGAATTTTGGGATTTATGCTTATATTCTATTTTGATTTATTATATAATATTTTAAATTTTCATGATTAAAAAAAGGCATATATTATACTAATGAACATCCTAATTAGAATATATCGAATCATGCCGGTTCGGATTATAATATATTGGATCTCAATCTGGCTTCGTCAGCAGATTTTGCGAAGAAGAATTAGGCATTGGGCGACATATTTCTGCGAAAGAAGAGTAGGTAGAGATATTCAAGAATATGGGAAGGTTTTTGGGAATCTAAAGACCATCGTTCAGAGGATCTTGCTGCAAGGCCACATACGGAAAATATGCAGATTTCTCCCGCAAATGCCATATTATTGCCACCTTTGCAAAATAGTTTGCCTGGTCTCTGCTGCAAACGTTCGCGGACGAAATGTAAAAGAGCTTGGTTTCACTTCGCTTGGCTGTTGGACGGGAAGAAAACGGGACTTTTGTCGTGCATATTTGACAAGAAAGATAGGAAGGGATTTGTCGGCTTATAAGGCAAACAAAAATTTCTCTTAACACGGAACCATTCATATTTTCTCTGCTGACCGAACGAGGAGCATTGTCCATAGGATTTTGTTGCCGCAGGAACCGCACAAAGAAAAAATACAACTGCTCCACAATTTTCATAACATTACCGTCTTGCAAAATAGGATTCCTTGCCTCCGCTGTGCCCATTGGAGGAAAATGTGCAACAGAGGTTACTATATGGATCGGTTGGCTGTCGCACAAGAAAAAAGTATGAACTTTGCCGCGCAATTTTGGCGAAAAGAAGCGCGCACAGGGGTGCGTCGGCTTACAACACAATTTTTTTTATCTTTCTTTATACGGAATCATTCACGACTTTTTCTGCAGACCGAACGAAGATCCATAGAATCTTGCTACCGCAGAAACCACGCACGGAAAAAATCACTCATAACATTGCCGTTTTATTTTTGCTAGACAGGATATGAGGCCTCTATCGTAAACGTTTGTGAAGAAGCGTAAAATAGAATGGTTTACGGATCGGCTGGCTATCGCACGGGAAAAAATAATGAATTTTGCGGCGCAATTATGGCGAAAAGAAGAACATATGGGTTTGTCGACTTACAAGGCAAATAAAAATCTTCTTTATACGGAATCATTCATGATTTTGTCCGCAGACCGAACGAAGATCCAGAGGATCTTGCTGCCGCAGCAACCACGTACGGAAAAAATACGCATAACATTGCCGTCTTGCCTTTGCAAGACAGCATATGAGGCCTCTACCGTAAACATTTATAGAATAAGCGCAAAACAAGTTGGCATATAGATCGGTTGACTGCCACACGGGAAAAGATAGGAACTTTGCCGCGCAAACTAGGCAAAAAGAAACGGCAAGGGATTTGTCGGCTTTCATCACAATCACAAATCTTTCTTTATATGGAACCATTCACGTTTTTATCCGTAGATCGAACGAAGATCCGCACGATCTTGCTGCCGCAGAAACCACGCACGGGAAAAACACGCAACATTGCCGTTTTGCGACGCAGGATATGTGGCAACTGCTGTAGACGTCTGTAGAAGAAGCACGAAAGAGATTCGTATACAGATCGGATGGCTGTCACACGGGAAAAAGAAGGAACTTTACCGCGCGAACTTGGCAAAAAGAAACACAAAGGGATTTGTCGATTTTTATCGCAATCAAAAATCTTTCTTTATACGAAATCATTGACGATTTTTTCGCCGATAAAACGAAGAACGTCGTCCGCAGTATCTTGCTACCGCAGAAACCACGCAAGGAGAAATATATAAGTTCCCTTTTATACGGAACCATTGACGATTTTTCCACAGACAAAATGAAGAACGTCGTCCATAAGATCTTGCTGCCGCAGAAACCACGCACGGAAGAACACACAACCTTCCCGTAACTGTTACAACATTGCTGCCTTGCAAGACAGGATTCCCGCCGGGCAAGGCAAGGAAACCCAAAAGGGATCCAGCCCGAAGAGGAATACGAGCTGCAAACGTACCTCTTTTCTCATTACTTGAGCCAAAGATCATATCATTGGCAGATTAAGCTACACAGTCAGATATATTTCCTTTTTAAGGACAGGGAACGTCGTATTCGATCAATTAATTATTATATTATTGCTGCTTTGCAAAATAGGATACCTGACTTTTGCTGTAGATGATTGCGGAAGAAGCACGAAGCAGGTTGGTATAGATCGGTCGCCTATCGGACGGAGCAAACTGGGAGCTTTGCCGTGTAAACTTCGCAAAAAGAAATGCGAAGAGGTTTGTCGACTTCTAAGGCGAATATAAATCTTCTTTTGCACGGAATTATTGACGATTTTTGCGCAGACCGGACGAAGAGCGTCGTCCATAGGATCTTGCGGCAAATTTCCCGCTAGTATCACAATCTTGTCGTTTTGCAAGACAGGATATTTTGCCTCTGCTGTACACGTTCGTGGAAGAAACACAAAAGAGATTAATATACGGATCGGTCGGCTGTCGCACGGGAAAGACGGGCAACTTTGCCGCACAAAGAGGGCAAAAAGAAAAACGAAGGAGTCGACTTATATCACAATCAAATATTTTCCTTATTTGGAACCATTGATAATTTTTCCGCAAACCGAACGAAGAACGTCGTCCACAGGATCTTGCTGCAGCAGAAACCACGCACGGAAAAACTCACAGCTATTACAATATTGCTGCCTTGCAAGACAGGATATCGGATACCTGGCTTCTGCTGTAGACGTTTGTGGCAGAGCAGGCGTCCAGAAAAGAAATATTAAGGGAATCCAGCGGGAGTTCAGGCCCTCTGTTGCGACCCGCCCGTCCAATCCAGGAGCCCAGAAAGGAAATAAGAAGGAAGCCCAGATGACAACCCAATCCCTTTGCCGCGGCCCACCCATCTCATCCAGGAGCCCAGAACGGAAGTATGAAGGGAGGTAAACGGGATTGCCGCGGCCCAAGAAAAGATGAAGGGCGCCCAACGGGAGTCTAGGTCCAACCCAGCAGCCCAGAAAGGAAATATGAAGGGAATCCAATGGGAGCCCAGGTCCTTCTATCCGTCCAAACTAGGAGCCCAGGAAAAAAATGAGAAGGAAATCTAATGATAGTCTAGATTCTTTGCCGCGGCCTAACCATCCAACCCAATCCAAAAAAGAATTGAAGGGAATTGAATGGGAGCCCAGGTCCTTCGCCGCGGCCTATTCATCCAATCCAGGAGCCCAGGAAGGAAATACCAAGGGATCCCAATGAAATCCAGGTCCTTTGCCGCGGCCCGCCCGTCCAACCCAGGAATCCAGAAAGGAAATATGACGGGAATTGAATGGGAGCCCAGAACCCTTCGCCGTTGCCCACGCGTCCAACCTAGGAGCCCAAGAAGGAAATATGAAGGGAGCCCAACGAGAGTCCAACCCAGGAGCCCAGAAAAGAAATATGAAAAATCCAATAGAATTCAGGTCCTTTGCTGCGACCCAACCGTCCAACCCCGCCCAGAAAGGAATCATGAAGGGAATTGAATGGGAGCCCAGACAGGAAATATGAATGGAATCCAATGGGAGCCAAGGTCCTTTGCCGCGACCCAACCGTCCAACCCAGGAGCCTAGAAAGGAAATATGAAAAATCCAATGGAATTCAGATCCTTCGCCGCGGCCCACGCATCCAACCTAGGAGTCCAGAAAGGAAATATGAAGGGATCCCAATAAAATCTAGGTCCTTTGCCGCGGCCCGCCCGCCCAATCCAGGAGCCCAGAAAGGAAATATGAAGGGAATTGAATGGGAGGAGCCCAGAAAGGAAATATGAAGGGAAGTGAACGCGGTCCACCCGTCCACCCCAGGAGCCCACAAAG